TTTCAAAATTTCTCTAGCCTGCTTCAGAGAAAGACGCCCTTTTTATTTCTAGAAGTCCGTTCTGGTTCTCTTTAAACCTTCCCGGTGTAGTCTAACACTCCCGCTCTTCAGTGACACTTCACCTTCCCTCTTTTGTCTCCTAGACGTATAAAATAGATGTGCATCGTGTCATGAAGCGGATCATTCCTACAGGCTCAGGTGTGCGTGTCTGACCGTGTGTGTTGCGTGTGCGTCTTCCTACCCATTCACCCATTCACGGTGTCTGTTTTCTCGCATGTGTGTATGTGGGTTTCTGGGTCTGTGTTCATATTCGGCTAAACTTAATCTGTGTGAATCCAGAGACCCCCGAAATCCTGGAGCCCTGAAAGATATGTTCCTCGATTTCTTCCAGGGAGAGTCTGAGCGTCCGGCAGGCCCCGGGGGGCTCTGTGGGCCCAGCGGCTTCAGCCCCCACCTACCCCCCCAGGGTCCTGGCCCGACCCTATGGCTGGCAGAGGCTGGGCCGGACACCCTGCGCTGGACAGTTGGCTCTCACACAGGGGCAGCGAGGTAGCCGCCGGGCTCTCCCTGTGCTTTTCAAGCTCGCTCTGGATGCCGCCTGCAAAGCGTGGCCAGCACGAGCGGAGGGAGGTGGAAGCTCATTGCACAGACCCAAGCTGGAGGTGACGGGGCCGACTATGGGATGCGAGGGTCAAGGGCATCTCCTGGGATCTCGGCTCGAACCTTCACCTGGCACGGTGGCCGAGCAGACTTCCGGGAAGTTCGAGGTAAGAGCCTAACGCTGCTCCAGAGGCAGGTCTCGGGCGAAATCATCCCCCCTCTCTCTTCCCATCTCACCCGACGGGGTCAGAGGACCCCACGGCCGCTGTCCGGCCCAGCCCCAGTGTCTCGGGACCCCGGAGGGGACCCCCCTCCTGCAGGCCGAGCCCCGGTCCCCGAGCAGAGGGGTCCGTGCCGGGGCAGGAGTTCCCACGGGGTTGGGGGAAAGACTTAATTCTATGAGCAAATTCAACCTTTCGACGTCCAAACGGGTAATTTCATCTTACTGTTTTCTTACATTTCATCAAATACCATCCAGGAGCGCAGAAATCCTCAGACGCGAGACAGGAACTGCGCCTGTCTGCCAAGGTTCGAGGATTAAAGGAGCCCGTTCGCAAGGACCTTTTGCCCTAAGCACTTTTTATTGGTTTTCGAGAGGCGGTTTAAGCAGCGAGAGAAAGTAAACAGGCGGGACGGCCGGCGCGTGAGGGCGGCAGGGCGCAAAGGAGGGGTTGAAGGTTGTGGGCTGGGAGCACAGGACCCGCCCCCCCCCCCTTCCCGGGCGCGGCAAGGGCACCGCGGCTGTGCACGTGGGACCTCTGGGCTGGACTTCCCCCCCCCAGGGCAGCTCCCATGCTGCATGCTCTGCAGAAGTCCCCGACCTCGGAGCCTGCGCGGTGACACTCGTCACCAACACTCCAGCTCGTGGCTGTCTGGTGACAACGAGGTAACCGCATGACGCTGCCGCATAGAGCACAGAGCTCCACACAGGAAGCCATTGTTCATGTTATCTTTGTCACCGCCATAAATTAAACAGCCGTTCTAGTAACCTCTTTGGGCGTGACCATCAAAACACCATTGTACTCGGTGTGCGCGGAGCCCTGCCCGGTCCCCGAGGGAGGGGATCCAAGAGAGAGCACTCGCCCCGCCGCAGCCACCGGTCAGGGGTCACGGCCGTAGCCGGAACTCTGTCCCCCCAGATGTGCAGGCCCTGGGGGTCGCAGGGCCCGGGGCAGTCCTGACTCAGGGCCTCGGAGGGACGGCCGGCTGCTTCCCACGTGGGTGGCTCCTCCCACCTCCGTGGCGGCTTCCCGGTCACCTGCCTGGGCTGCCCCTGGGGCGCCTGTCCTCACACCCCATCCTCCAGCCCTGCGTCTCCGGAGACGCTGCCCAGCCCTGGCTTCTCCCCGCCTAACGTTGACTGGCCCGGCTGCTCTGCGCGGCGCCTGCCTTTCCTCTGCGCAGCTTTCCACACGCCGGAGGGAGAGATTTTGCCTCATCCCAACCGCCGGGTGCGTCTGGGCCTGGACCCGGCGCCGCGCCACGTGCTCCGAGCCACGGTTTCCAGGCGGCCCGTCCTTGCTGGGAAGCCTGCAGTTCTCCAGGCCTCTCCCGGCCAGGATGAGATGTCCCCACGCACAGAGACCCACCCGACGCTGGCAGGGGCGCGGAGAAACGGGGCCTGCGCTGGCGCGAACGCAAGCGCACAGCCCCCCCGGAAACCAGTGTGGCAGTTTCTAGACACTAGACACACTTGCACCCTGCAACCCGCAACTGCTCTCCCGGGCGTTGCCCCAGAACAATGGGAACTGATGGAATTATGCACATGACGTACAAAATCGTGTCCCTGAATGTCCAGTTTTATATGTGACAGCTCCGAAGTGGGAAAACACCCAGATGTCCTCCAACAAACTGGCCCGTCCGTCCCCGGATCGGACTGTTCACTGAAGGAGGAGCAGCCTGTGCACGGCCCCCCGACGCCGCATGAAAACGCAGTCTCCATGCTTACGTGACGTGGTTGTGCAAGTGACAGTCTCAAAGGGACAAGATTTCAACCCCAGTTCACCTCTGTGGAAAGCAATATGGAGATACCTCAAAGCGATACGAGTGGATCCACCATTTGATCCAGCAATCCCACTACTGGGCGTCTACCCAAAAGATCAAAAGTCACTTTATGAAAAAGACACCTGCACTCGAATGTTCGTAGCAGCACAATTCACAATTGCAAAGCTGTGGAAACAACCCAAGTGCCCATCAATTCATGAGTAGATTAATAAAATGTGGTATATGTGTACCATGGAGTACTACTCAGCTTTAAGAAACAACGGTGATCTAGCACCTCTTGTGTATTCCTGGATACAGCTGGGACCCATTCTACTAAGTGAAGTATCTCAAGAATGGAAAAACCAGCACCACATGGACTCACCAGCAAATTGGTATTAACGGATCAACACCTAAGTGGACACATAGGAGTAACATTTATCGGGTGTCGGGAGGGCAGGAGGGGGGAGGAGGGGGTGGGTGTATACAACCACAACGAGTAAGATGTGCAATGTTTGGGGGATGGACACACCTGAAGCTCTTACTTAAGGGGGGAGGGGGGCATGGGCAATATATGTAGCCTTAACACTTGTACCCCCATAGTACGCTAAAATAAAAAAATAAATATTTCAACCCCGGGGCAGATTGTCGGTCCCACAGGTCAGGATGTGGGAGGGGTGGGGATCCCGGCCCCGGTTCCAACTGAGAACTGCATAGCTGTGAGCTCGGGGGATGTGTGCAGTGGGAACCTGGGGGCAGAAGGACCCGGAGAGCCCGCGCGTCCTGGCAGAGCACCGTCCAGGTCGGCATCCTCGCACCTGTGAGTGGCCCTGACCCGGCACGGGGGCCCGGCAGGTGTGGTTTCATTAAGGATCTTGCGGTGGGGGCCACTCTGGGTCACCCGGTGGCCCTGCCCTCATCCTCGGGGGCCCGCAGGGAGGCAGGAGGGTCCCTGAGCGATGGTAGCAGAGCCGTGGGGACTGAAGACGCCCGCTGCTAACTCGGGGAGGGCCCGGGAGTGCGGACGGAAACGGGAGGACTGGGTCCCCGAGCCTCGGCCCCCTGGGACCCCAGAGCTGGGAGAGGACACTCGTGCTGCTGTAAGGCACTGACTGGATCTGCCGGGGCGACAGCAGGAAACCGACACACTGCAGACCTAAAACGATTTCACAATGAAGGTTAAAGAAACACACCAGCCAGGACAGGACTGAGGTCAGCCCGGGGCAGGAACGAGGCGCCTTCTCCCAGGCCTGGCGTCTCCCAGGCGTGGCGTCTGCGCAGCTGCCACTGGCTCTGTCCTGTCTCAGCTGCTTTTGTGCTTAGCTTTCGCCAGGACAGAAACCCGGGCGCATCCTCTCGAGCTGCCGTGTTTATTTTGGCTGCCAACCTGCTGAGTCCTGACACGGCGTCCCGATGTCCTCTCTCCGGCAAACGCCGCAGTCTGTCCAGGATGCCTGTGGGGGGCTGGCACGAGGCCCGTGCAGCGGGTGTGGCCGGCCCCACGCACGGCCCGGCCCAGCCGCCGTCCAGAGAGGCTCTGGCTCCTGTGCACGGGGTGGCCTGAGATGACCCCGTCCTGCAGCGGCCCTGAGCGCTCCGTCCGGCCACCAGCGCAGGAAGGGGTGTGCCCGGCCCACTGCTCTGGAACCAACTCCGTCGTTTATTGAAAAATCCCCCTAGACTCAGGTCCCACCCACTGGCACGGAGTTGATGGGATTCAGCTTCTCCCTCCTTACTCAGAATTTGTTCTTCTTCAATGTGTTCTAGTCCCTCGTAGGCAGGGGGGAGCGTCCCCGACCCGGCTGCAGCTCCTCAGGGCAGTGGGGACCCCACATCTGGGACGCAGGACAAGGCCCTGCCTCCCTGAACAGCAGACCAAGAATGGCATTTCGTTGTGTTTCACTTTAGGCCAGCAATGTAAATTTATTTCTTGGGACCTTTCTGGAGTTTTACGAGGTGAGATGAAGACAGAGCAGCCGTGCGTGCATGCAGCGCTGCGGGTCTGGAGAGCAGCGTGTGAGCTGGGGGAGGGGTCCCTCTCTGAGCCATGGTCTCGGCCACATGAAAGCGATGTTCTGCCCCAGTTCCTTCTGTTCTTTTTTGTTTGTTTGTTTGTTTGTTTGAGACAGAGTCTCACTTTATTGTCCAGGCTAGAGTGAGTGCCGTGGCGTCAGCCTAGCTCACAGCAACCTCAAACTCATGGGCTCAAGCGATCCTACTGCCTCAGCCTCCCGAGTAGCTGGGACTACAGGCATGCACCACCATGCCCGGCTAATTTTTTGTATATATATTTTTAGTTGGCCAATTAATTTCTTTCTATTTTTAGTAGAGACCAGGTCTCACTCTTGCTCGGGCTGGTTTCGAACTCCTGACCTCGAGCAATCCGCCTGCCTCGGCCTCCCAGAGTGCTAGGATTACAGGCGTGAGCCACCGTGCCCGGCCTGTTCTTTTTTTAAATTACGTTTCCCGTGCTGGCTTCCCTGGGAGGAATGGGAGTAAGCCACAACTTGACTTCACCACGGGACGAATTTCCCTGAGGCAGACGGAGCAGGTCTCCAGCACACCCACCGGCAGGGGGCTTTGGCCTGGAAGACAGACCTCCTAGGGCGGAGGCCTGAGTGTCACCAGACCAGGCCAGCCTCCAGCTGGAGCCAGGTAAGAATGAGGATCCGCCCGCCTGGCAGGGTGCAGAGGCCTGTTCAGACGCCACCTCCACGAATAAAAGCAATTTCTGTCCAAGTTCTTAACGCAGGAAAGGTTATGTGTTAGCATTCAGCTTTGCCAGATTCAGAGCGTCCCCACAGCGTCTCGGGGGACCAAAGGGTCCCCATTCCCAGCGAGTCCAACTCCAACATCCCCGAGCCTGGGCCTGGGCAAAGTCTGGCTGCGGCTCCTCTGCTGTCTCGCGGGGGTTCGAGTCTCCCTCCCAACCGTCATCCTGGGTCTGGGGCTGAACGGCTGTGGGATCTCTGCCGCTGGCTCGAAGTTGGGGACGTGTGGCAGGTCCCCGCTGCACCTGGCCTTCCCCCGCGCGGTGGGAGCGGCCGGACGTGGCGGGCAGTGCTGGCGGGACTGGCAGGAAGAGAGCCCGCGGAGGTGCGCGGCGCCCCACGACCATGCCACGCGGCATGGCACGAACAGCGGCTGATTTTCCCCCCTTCCTCGGATGGGACCGACCTGGCGGTGACTAACAGGGAACTGTTTGGGCTGGTTCGCTTACGAATGGGGCCCACAACAGAAGCCTAAGAACCTGCGAGAAGAAACTTCGGCTGGGGTCAAGACCCGAACCTGCGGGGGGCCGCGTGGCAGGGAGGAGCTCCGGGTCCCTGGGCGTGCGCGCCCAGGACATGCCTGCGCCCTCGACGCCCTTTCCGAAGCCCCTCTGGATCCGGACCCCAGGGCGGCCCTCGGGCCCGGCCGACTCGTGTGACAAAGTGACAGAACAGGGGCGCGGAACTCACCCGGGCCCCGGGACTCCACGTAAATTTAGGTCCCTCCCTCGGACACCCCCGGAGCCCTGGCTGATGCTGCCCCTCCCGGCTGTGAGACCCTCGCTGAGGCCCCTGCACCCTGGGGGGGCCGGCGCGCGGGTCCGCACCAAAGAGCTGCGCGGCCAGAGCCCCGGGCCCCTGGTGACACCAGACGCTGACGCGCGGCACTGCAGCGGCCCGCGGGGCGGAGGGGCCGGCTGGGCGGAGGCTTCCGGCGACCCAGGCCCCTGAGCGACCCCGCCCCTTCCTCTGCAGCCCCGCCTCCCGCGGGCTGACTCCGCCCCGCGCCGCATGGCGACGCCCCCGTTCTCGGCCCCCAGCCCAGCCCCAGCCGCGGGACCTTTCCGGATCCCAGGCTCTCGACCCCCTTCCAGCCCCGCCCCTTCCTCCCGCGGGCCCCGCCCCCGACCGTCCTCCCTCCGCGGCGCGGGCGCCAAGAGGAGCGAAGGTGCGCGCCTCCCCGCTCGGCGCCGGGGTGCCTCAGCACGTGGGGGGACCCCGGCCGGGCCATGCCGCGCGCGCCCCGGTGCAAAGCCGTGCGCGCCCTGCTGCGCAGCCGCTACCGCGAGGTGCTGCCGCTGGCGACGTTCGTGCGGCGCCTGGGGCCCGAGGGCCGGCAGCTGGTGCAGCGCGGGGACCCGGCCGCCTTCCGCGCGCTGGTGGCCCAGTGCCTGGTGTGCGTGCCCTGGGGCGCGCGGCCGCCCCCATCCGCCCCCTCCTTCCGCCAGGTGGGCCACCCAGGGATCCGTGTTGGTGCGGGCGTGGGGCCGGCCGCGGGGAACGAGGCGGGACGCGGAGCAGCGCGCCCCGGGCTCCCGGCACCTCTCTCTGGACTCAGAACTCCTTTGCCCCCGCAGGTGTCCTGCCTAAAGGAGCTGGTGGCCAGGGTCGTGCAGAGGCTCTGCGAGCGCGGCGCCAGGAACGTGCTGGCCTTCGGCTTCGCGCTGCTGGACGGAGCCCGTGGCGGGCCGCCGGTGGCCTTCACGACCAGCGTGCGCAGCTACCTGCCCAACACGGTGACCGAGACCCTGCGCGGCAGCGGCGCATGGGGGCTGCTGCTGCGCCGCGTGGGGGACGACGTGCTCGTTCACCTGCTGTCGCGCTGCTCTCTCTACCTGCTGGTGGCGCCCAGCTGCGCCTACCAGGTGTGCGGGCCGCCTCTGTACGAGCTCTGTGCTGCCACGGAGGCCCGGCCTGGCGCGCCCCCCAGACATCGGCCCACGCGACACTCAGGCCAGACTCAAACGGGCCCAGGATCAAAGCGCCCGATGCCGCACAACAGCGATGGCGAGGCCCGGGTATCCCTGCGCCTGCCAGACCAGGGTGCTAAGCGGCGTCCTGGCAGCTTCGGCAGTAGTCCTCCTTCCGCCAAGAGGCGCAGGCATGAACAGGGCCGCGACCTGCAACAGGGGCCTGACGGGCAGGCGTCTGGGGCCCACTCAGGCAGTGTGCATGGGCCGAGTGACCACGATTCCCGCGCCGTGGCTCCCACCAAACCCGCCATGGAAGCCACGTCCTCCGTGGGCGAGCGGTCAGGGACACGTGGCTCCTACCCATTGGTGGGCGGCACGCGCCATGTGGGCCCCCCACCCACACCGCGGCCAGCGGGTGCGTCTCCTCCGCAAATGTACGTGGAGACCAAGCACTTCCTCTACTGCTCGGGCGACAGGGAGCGGCTGCACCCCTCCTTCCTGCTCAGCTCCCTGCCGCCCAGCCTGACCGGCGCCCGCGCACTTGTGGAGACCATCTTTCTGGGCTCGACGCCAGGGCGGGCAGGGGCGCCCCGCAGGCCGCGCCGCCTGCCCCCGCGCTATTGGCAGATGCGGCCCCTGTTCCGCGAGCTGCTTGGGAACCACGCGCGGTGCCCCTACGCCGCGCTCCTCAGGGCGCACTGCCCAGTGCGCGGCGGGGCCGACCCCGCTGCAGGAGCCTGCACCCCCAAGGACAGCGCGTGCCCGCAGCGCCTGGTGCGGCTGCTTCGCCAGCACAGCAGCCCCTGGCAGGTGTACGCGTTCCTGCGGGCCTGTCTGCACCGCCTGGTGCCCGCGGGCCTCTGGGGCTCCAGACACAACGAGCGCCGGTTCTTGAGGAACACGAAGAAGTTCGTCTCTCTGGGGAAGCGAGCCCGGCTGTCCAGGCAGGAGCTGACGTGGAGGATGAAAGTGCAGGACTGCGCTTGGCTTGGTAGCAGCCCAGGTGAGGCGGTGCTGGCCTCCGGGCCCACGCCCGTGTGCAGTGCAGGGGCTCAGACAAGGGCGCCCGGGGCAGGCAGGAGCCCTGGGCCTGTATGTGCCTCAGCCTCACTGGGCACGCCGGTATCTCGCTGTGCCCGCGGCTGACACCATGTGCACTCCGCCTGTGCCCTGTCCCTCCCTGTGGCTGATGCCCTGTGCTCTCTGCCTGTGCCCTGTCCCTGCCCTGGGCTGATGCCGTGTGCTCCCTGCCTGTGCCCTGTCCCTGCCCTCGGCTGATGCCCTGTGCTCCCTGCCTGTGCCCTGTCCCTGCCCTCGGCTGATGCCGTGTGCTCCCTGCCTGTGCCCTGTCCCTGCCCGCAGCTGTTGCCCTGTGCCCTGTCCCTTCGTCTGGTTGGCCCAGCCTGCAGGTTCTCAGTCATGCTCTGGGACACGGGTAGGTCCCAGGCGCTGGGGCCGCCACAGCGAGCAGGTGGGGTGCATGGTGGGACGGGGCTGCTGGCTGGGGGCGGGGGAAGGGGGTGTCAAGAAGGTTCCGGCAGGTTATTCGTGACCCCCTTCCCGGTTCCAAGGTTTGTCGGGAAGACGGGGGCTCCCCTGATGGAAGCGGGAGGTGAGATGCAGGTGACCGTCCCGACACAAGTGTTCTTTTATCGTGGTAAAAATCACCTGACGTCTGCCCTGCGTGCGCAGTGCCGGCTCAGCAGCTGCGCCCAGCGTTGGCAGCAGACCTAGGACTTTCCATCTTGCGTGACTCACAGTCCGTGTCTGTTGACAGCAGCCGCCTGCCACACGCCACGGCACAGGGACCTTAAAGACCACACACCAAGTCAGATCTACCAGTCCTGCGGCTCACCTTTGGTTTCGGCCTCCGGCTTCCTTCGTAAAGGAGAGTTTGAGTTCTGCGGAAACTAGTCTGCTTCCCGGCATCGCCTTTCTCTGATTTTGGAGGGGCCACGGCCCCCGTGTGACACAGGAGACCCTGGGCCTTTTGCCTGGCTCACTGGGGCCGTGCCCCGGCTGTTTGCTCGGCTGTGGCCGTGGCCGTGGCCGCACTGCTTGCCCACTGCCTGGCTGAGTGGCGCAGGTCGCGGTTTTGGTCTCGAGCGCACCTCTTCCGGGTGTGGGCGCTCCTTGCCACACTTCCTTCTCCTTTGCTCCTCGGGCCTATCTCCCGCCTGCCCAGAGCGCCCTCCTGGCGTCAGGCCCACGGAGCCTCTGTGCGGCCAGGCTCCACGCTGGTCCTACCCTGCCTGGCGGCTCCGTCCCCGGCCCAGGGGCTGGCCCGCAGGGCTGCCCGAGCCTGCCACCAGGTTGCTGGGACACCCCGAGAGGGCTCCCTGTGCGCGATGGCCGTGGGCGCGGCAGCCTCCTCTCGGCCCCTGCTTTCTCCTCATGCCCCCCCCCCCGGGCGGCGGCCACCACCCCTGTCACCCAGCTCCGGGCACCCGCCACCCCTTGCGAGGCCAGCTCTGCCTCCGGGCGCCCCTCCTGGGGATTGGGCCCCACGTGGGCCGCACAGTCGAGTTTCCTGGACCGTAGTAGGGCCGGGTGTCCCTGACCTGCCCCGGGAACCTGTCTCCCCGGGGCCTGGCCGGGCGCTCTGTTGCGTCGCCACCAGGAATCTCGCTGGTTTTTCCCAGTATTCGTGTCTGCGCGCTGCGTGCTTTGCAGTGGTTCATCCTGTCCTGCCTTCCACCTTCTGAACCTGTGTGCAAGTGTCCCAGCACTGCCTCAGCCACACCCTGTTTTCTAACTTATTCTGTGACATCTTTGATCAGTGAGTTATTTGGATTTTTTTTCCCCAAATGTATGGGGTATTTTAAATTATCTATTCTTTTTTTTTTTGAGATGGGGTCTCGCTCTTGCCCAGGCTGGAGTGCAGTGGCATCATCGCAACTCACTGCAGCCTCCAACTCCCGGGCTCCAGCAATCCTCCTGCCTCAGCCTCCCAACATGCTGGGATCGCAGGGTGGCCCCTGCCCTCGGCCCTGAGTTGTCTTTTTGTTGTTGGTTTCTGAGTTGTTTGGTGGTCTACACAGTGCCCATGATTTGGGGAATGGTGGAGACCTGTTTCGTGAGCCGGTTTGTGGGTGGTGCTCACGGGTGCTCCGTGCGTGTTTGGATCCTGGCGGTGGGCTGCCCCGCCCAGCGTCTGCCCATCAAGCCGTCGCGGGGACTCGCCCTGGTGGTCCTTCCCTCCGTTCAGCCGCGCTGGCCTTGCTGCTGCTCAGCGTGTTCCTGCCCGGTTTTCCTCCTTCAGTTTTCAGCTTGTTCATAGTTCTGCAGTTTGGGTGTGTCTGACGGACAGCAGACGGGAGAACTTCTCGTCCATCTGCAGTCCCCTCTGGCAGCGTTGCTCGCCTGGGACACCGGGGACGTCTGTGTGCCGTGATCCATGGTCTGGGCGCGTTTCTTGCCAGCCTGTGGCTGCCGTGACTAGTCCCGTCCTCTCCCGTCTGGATTCTTGGGCTGTCTTCTGCGTGTGCCGTGTTTTTGCCTCCTCGTAGACGTCACGGGCTTTGTTCCTGGTCTGACGAGCGTTAGCAAGCCGCGTCACGGCTGCCTTGGTGTCCCTTACTGGAGGTGAGCACGGCCCGCGGCTGAGTGTGTCTCATGCCTTCGCCACTCGGCCACCTGCCGCTCTCCCCGCCCGGCTGCGCCTCGGGCCCCTCCGTCCGCGAGTGAGCGGCACTGATTGTCCCTGTGCCCAGCGCCCTCCCCGCCAGTCCCCTCTCTTCATGGCCGCCTCAGCCCCAGCCCTGCCGCCGGGTCCCCTTCTTCTGAACACGTCTTCCTCGAGTCAGCTGTTGGCAGTGAGCCGGCTCCGTCTGTGCCCTGCGGTGACACCTGCGGCCTCTGCTCACCTCGCGCGGGCACTCATGCAGAGGACCACAGGGAGCATAGTCACCGGCCCGTGGTGCGTGGCCAGAGCCCGCGTGGCCAGCATGCCTTAGTGTGTGTGCCACGGGCTGCTCCGTGGTGGCGAGTTCGAAACCGTGCAGACCAGCCGTGTGGCCCCAGCACTAGCTGTGTGTGGCCGTCGGGAGCACTTCTGCCTCTGCTGTCCGTGTGCGTGGCGGGACAAACAGGCCGGCCCCCATCCTGTGGGAATAGAACGTGAGCCACACGCACAGTCTTTGAGTTGACAGCAGCCGTGTTAAACACGTGAAAAGGGAAAGGCGAAACCAGCTTGCTGGTGCGTTTTATTAAACACCAACGCGTCCAAAACACGATCGTTTCAACACGTCACAGTGGCAGCACCGTCAGCCAGATACTTTACACTTTCCGCTGTGCCGCGTCCCGGGACCTGGCGTGTGGCTCCCTTCTGTGCCGCGTCCCGGGACCTGGCGTGTGGCTCCCTTCTGTGCCGAGTCCCGGGACCTGGCGTGTGGGACCACGTTCAGCCCTGTTGGTCGGAGTGGCCTGTGGCTGCTGCCCGGCAGTCGGACCTGGGCTGAGCCGTGGCTGGCGTCTTCCTCGCGCAGGGGGCTGCGTCCCGGCCGCGGAGCACCGGCGCAGGGAGGAGGTCCTGGCGCGGTTCCTGCTCTGGCTGATGGGCGTGTGCGTGGCGGAGCTGCTCAGGTCCTTCTTCTACGTCACGGAGACCACGTTCCAGAAGAACAGGCTCTTCTTCTACCGCAAGAGCGTCTGGAGCCAGCTGCAGAGTCTCGGCGTCAGGTATGGCGCCCACACGTGGGCAGGCGTGTGTCTGCGTGTTCTCGGGATGGAAGCCCAAGCCAGTCCCTGCTAGTGCGTGCTTCCTGGGCCGTGTGGCCCTGCGCCAGACCCGGACCCCGTCGTGGTCCTGGCCCACAGGCATCCGTGCTGGGCCCTGACCGCCGGGAGCCCCGGTTCCTTCCCGGGACGGCAGGGGCTTGGCCGGCGGCCTCTGGGATCCCCGCGGGGAAAGGGGTTCCTGCGAAGGGGGCGGCGCCGGCCGGCGCTTCCTGTCGGGGCGCGGTCAGACCACTTCACTCACTGCCCGCGGGAGCGTCCGGTGTAGCCGGGCTCAGTCGGGCGAGGACGACGTTCTGCCCCCTGGCAGCTCGAGCTGGAGACATCTGGGACGGGTGTCCGCCATGGGAGAAAGCACCGCGGAGCCAATTTGGGGGGTCGGCTCGAACAGCTGCGAGTTGGCCGGCGCTCGGTGTGAGAGGGAGGGGCATGGCGGGCCGGCTGGGTGCGCACCCGCGGGGAGGCAGGGCCGCGGCCGGGGGAGGGGGCCTGCGGGGCACAGACCGGCTCTCGCTGCTCCGCATCCGGCCCCGCTGACCCGGGGCGGTCGGGGAGGGCCCAGCGGTGGCCGCATCAGGCTCCCTGACCTCTGCTCGTTGGGGTCCCCTGGGGGGCTGTCCTCACCCTGCGCCGGAGCCCCAAGTCTGCCGAGGAGCTGGGGGCCGACCTCCTGATACCCACAGCCCTGGAGGCACAGGTGCTGCCGGGAACTGGGGATGTTCCCTCCCGCGTCCAGGAGGGTCAGGGCTCCCCTGTGGTCAGACTCAGTCCTCAGTCGTTAAACACGCTGGACGGAGTGTGACCCGAAGCGGCGTTTTTGGGTGCAGTTTTGGAAAGGATTTGGTTGAGCGACAGGAGGGAGCAGATCGTGCTCTTGTCACGCCTGTGGGCAGCGGCCGCTCTGCCCGAGTGGGCTCCGCGTGCTCATGCCCACAGCGGCTGGGTGGCCACACCGGCCTGGCCACGAGGGCCGGCTGCTGCTGAGGTGTGCAGCCCAGAGCCCAGGAGTGGTTTCGGGGGAGCGGCCCAAGGACACGGGTCCCAGGAGCTGCCGGGTCTCAGGGAGCAGACTCCGACCCTCAGCCGGAGGGTCCCGCCTGTCCCGGTGGCCGCGCCCGAGGCCCGGTGTCCAAGGGGCGGGCTCAGGCCCGCAGCAGGCACGGGCACCGCCCGGTCCAAGGGAGTCGCGTACCGGTGCCGGCCGCGTCCTGAGGGCTCTCCGCCACAGGCAGCACTTGGAGCGCGTGCAGCTGCGGGAGCTGTCCGCCGCGGAGCTCCGGCGGCACCGGGAGGCCGGGCCAGCCCTGCCCACGTCCAAGCTGCGCTTCATCCCCAAGCCCAGCGGGCTGCGGCCCATCGTGAACATGGACTACATCGTGGGCGCCAGAACGTTCCGCAGAGCAACGAGGGTGAGTGCTTCTGTTCCTTTTCCTTTTCAGGAGCATTTGAGAGCCGCCTTTGGCGTCGTTGGGACGAGGGCCGGAGGAGGCCACGGCTCGGCCTGAGCTGCGGGCAGGCGCAGCGAGCTGGGCCAGAGGCCGGCGGTTCCCGGGTCCGGAGGAGCAGCCCGTGGGGGGTCCCAGCGGGGGCAGGGCCGGGCTCCGGGGCCCCAGGGAGCAGCAGGTGCAGGCGCGGACATGGCCCGGGAGCCCTGCCGTGGCGCCGTGGGTACCACGGGTTCCACACGCCAAGGCAGAGGGGACCCTGGGCCCCACCCCACCCCCATGCCCCGTGGCTGCCAAGTCACCAACAGCTCTGACCCCTCGGTGCCTCTGTGGGGGCATGGGCAAGGATCGCATGAGGATCACACGTGTAGCCACTGCGTGCCGTGATGGGCCCCCGAGACCCTGGGTCTGGCGGTCTGCGGACACGGCACGGGGCCCTCGGTGGCTGGCGCGTCCTGGCCAGGCCCGTCCTGACCTCCCCTCGCGTCCCCTGTGCAGGCTCAGCCTTTCAGCGCGAGCGTCAAGACCCTATTCAGCGTGCTCAACTACGAGCGCACCCGGCGCCCCGGCCTCCTGGGCGCCTCCGTGCTGGGCCTGGACGACATCTACCGGGCCTGGCGGGCCTTCGCGCTGCGCATGCGGGCACGGGACGCGGCGCCCGGGCTGTACTTCGTGAAGGTGAGCCCCGCCACGTGTCGTCCTGCGGCAGCTGGGCTCCATGGGCCACGCCAGGCGAGCGTTGTCCCTGCTCAGCCCTGGCGCGCCAGGCGAGCGTTGTCCCTGCTCAGCCCTGGCGGGGTGGGGGGGTGGGAAGGTGGAGCCACAGGGGCATCCAGCTCCCGGGGCAGAGGCCGTGACCCCCCAGCCCTGCACTGGCTCCGCGACTCCCGCTCCCAGGGAGGGTCCCGGGTACCGGCTCCCCCCAGGAAGGGCCCGTGTGCAGCCCGTGCCTCAGGGAGGGGGCGCAACCGTGGGGGTGCCGGCGGGGGCAGGGCCCAGGGCAGGATGCGGGGGCGGGGCCCAAGGCAGGACGCGGGGGCGGGGCCCAGGGCAGGACGCGGGGGCGGGGCCCAGGGCAGGACGCGGGGGCGGGGCCCAGGGCAGGACGCGGGGGCGGGGCCTGCCGAGCCCTTGCCAGCGCCCTCGCCGTGCCGCGCAGGTGGACGTGACGGGCGCCTACGACGCCATCCCCCAGGACAGGCTCGCGGAGGTGGTCGCCGGCGTCCTCAGGCCCCAGGAGAACACCTACTGCGTGCGCCGCTACGCCACGGTGCAGCGGGCCGCCCACGGGCACGTCCGCAAGTCCTTCAAGAGACACGTAAGGCTCTCAGTACATGTGTGACTCAGCCGTGCCTGGGATGCATGTGCATCCGTGTCCAGGTGTGTCTGTGGCGTGAACATGTGGGGCGTGGCCTCCCTCCATGGGCACTAAGTGGAGCTTCCTCCACTGGGAGGGCCCCCCCGTCACACGCGTGTGCATGGTCTGGTGAGTTGTGTGTTTGAAAGGTGCCCTGTCCCATCACAGCGCTGGGCCTTGGGGACTGCCACCCGGGCGGGCGTGGGTGGCAGGAGGGACGCGGTGGCAGCTGAGCCTGTCGCCCCTCCTAGGGCCCCCGCCAGGAGCCCATGCCGGGACGTGTGTGCCGTGGGGCTGAGCGAGCCGCGCGGATCTGAGGAGGGCGGGGGCGGGGCCTGGGGAGCCCCGGGGGCTGGACGGGGCCTCGAGTCGGTCCCACCAGTGGGCATCAGTGTGTTGGACAGGGCCCTCCAGTCAGTCCTGTCCGGTGGGTGTCAGTGTGCTGGGCTGCGGGGCCCTCTAGTCAGTCCCGCCCAGTGGGCGTCAGTGTGTTGGACGGGGCCCTCCGGTCAGTCCTGTCCGGTGGGTGTCAGTGTGCTGGGCTGCAGGGCCCTCGAGTCAGTCCCGCCCGTGGGCGTCAGTGTGCTGGGCTGGACGGGCCCTCGAGTCGGTCCTGTCTGGTGAGTGTCTGTGTGCTGGGCTGCGGGGCCCTCGGGTCGGTCCCGCCCGGTGGGCGTCAGTGTGCTGGGCTGCGGGGCCCTTGAGTCGGTCCCGCCCGGTGGGTGTCAGTGTGCTGGGCTGGATGGGCCCTTGAGTCGGTCCTGCCCGGTGGGTGTCAGTGTGCTGGGCTGTGGGGCCCTCTAGTCAGTCCCGCCCAGTGGGCGTCAGTGTGCTGGGCTGCGGGGCCTGGCCCCAAAGCGCTGCTGCGGGCGGGAGGTGGGGCACAGGCGGAGGCAGCTCCCCGGAGCCTCAGGTCTTGTGTGCGACTCTCAGAACGTGACGCTGTGGACGCCTGTGGCCGCACCTGCGGCCAGGTGTAGCTGGCCAGTGCTATAGACTCCGGGTGCCCTGCAGAGCTCCGTCCCGCCCCATGTGGCCCGCCCTGACCTGCTGCGCAGTTGCGCCTCCCGTCTCTACAGCCAGGACTCAGCTGGGCGGCACCTGGCGTCCTCGCGGTGGCTCCCGGGGCGTGCGTGTGCCATGTGGGTCTGTCCTTTCTGCCGGGGCGGACCTGTAGGCGGCTCCTGGGCTGCGCTGCTCTGATGGCGTCACCGTGCCCGTCTCGGGACGCGTCTCTGGCAGGCAGAGGCCCTCGTGTCTGTGCGGGACTGCGGGCCGCAGGCTGCTTGTGGTCAGTAGTTTTAGCGGCGTCACCGGAGCGTGTTCGTTCCCACCTGCCCCGAGCGAGGCCAGGAGTGGAGGCCAGGCGTGGAGGCAGGGTCAGCTCACCGGGCGGGCACTGCCGTGCGGGCGTCCGGGCCCAGCCTGGAGGTTCTGCCGAGGTTTTCCTGGTGGCCCGCGTTTGCGTCTCCCGGGGAACTGCCTGTTCCAGCGGCTTCCCGTTTCGTGTGTTCTTACACGACACGGGAGCACGTCTGCCTCAATCTTGCTTTTTTACTCTCAAGTGGAGTCTTTTGACGAATAGAAGTTTTTGATTTTAACAAAGTACACCTTATCAGTTGTTTATGCCTAAAACCGTGTTTTTGTTTTTTTTTTCCTGAGACAGTCTCAGTCTGTTGCCCAGGCTAGAGTGCCGTGACGTCGGCCTAGCTCACAGCAACCTCAAACTCCTGGGCTCAAGCGATCCTCCTGCCTCAGCCTCCCCGGTAGCTGGGACTACAGGCATGCGCCACCATGCCCGGCTAATTTTTTCTATATATTTGTAGTTGGCCAATTAATTTCTTTCTATTTATAGTAGAGACGGGGGTCTCACTCTTGCTCAGGCTGGTTTCGAACTCCTGACCTCAAGCGATCCACCTGCCTCGGCCTCCCAGGTGCTGGGATTACAGGCATGAGCCACCGCACCTGGCCGTGAAATTTTCTTAAATAATCACTGGAAGTTATAGATTTCTCCCTAAGAACTGCTTGAGCAGCGTCTTCCGAGTTGTGATGTATTCTTTTCTTTACCATTCAGCTGGAAATATTTTCTGGTTTTGTTGTGACTTTTGTTCACCCGTGGGTAACCTGTGTTGCTTATTGCTTAATCATGAGACACGTGGGATTTCCCGTCTGTTGCCCGTCACTGCTTTCTAGGCTAGTTCTGACGGTGAGGTCCTGCCATGTGCGGTTTTGACCCACAGCACCACGGCTAACTCACGGGGTGCTGGGAACACATGAAAACGTAACACAGCTGTACACATGTCGTGGACCCTCACAAGCGGGAGGTCATGGGGGTCGGCCTCGGGTGCGACTCGGTTCTGGGTGAACAGCAGGCGGCTGGGAGAACCCGGGGATCGGGACACGAAGGCGCCCGTCTGCCTCCCGCGGCCCCCAGGCCTTCCTGTCTGTGAGTCGTGGCTGCACGTGGGTCGGGGAGGCCTCTGGGGTCGGGAGCCTGTGCCGGTGCCATGGTTGGGTTGGACGTGGGAACTGGTCCCAGGTGGCCGCGGTGCGGGCCTGGGGTCCTTGCAGCCCCTGTCCCTTTCCCCTGGCCCGGCTCGGCGTCAGCGTCCATGAGAGAGGGACCACGTGGCCAGCTCGTGGCGGGGATGACGGTGGCCCCTGCTCATGCCTTCTCTGCCGCCAGGTCTCCACCCTCGAGGACCTGCGGCCGTACATGCGGCAGTTCGTGGAGCACCTGCAGGAGACCGGCTCGCTGAGGGACGCCGTGGTCATCGAGCAGGTCCGGGGCTGCCCCGTGGGGCTGGGCCGCCATGGCTCCCGGTGATGGGTCCACGCCTGGGGGGAGGGTGACGTGGCTCGCTTCACCCCGAGAGGCAGACCCCATGAGGGACGCAGGGCCACTGCCCATGCTGCCGCGTGCGGGGCTGTCTGGTGCCCTCGGGGCCGTCTGGTGCCCTCGGGGCCGCCCACGTCCCGCGTCTCCGTCTGCGTCCCCAGAGCTCCTCGCTGAACGAGGCCGGCCGCAGCCTGTTTGACTTCTTCCTGCTCTTCGTGCGCAGCAATGTGGTCCGGGTCGGTGGCAGGTGAGTCGGGCTCCGCAGGCGGCTCTGGCCAGCCCGGGGGTCCGTCAGCATGGAAACAGGAGCGGGCACGGGCTCGCAGGCTCAGGCGTGTGTGTGTGTGTGTGTTTGTGTGTGTGTGTGTGTGTTTGTGTGTCTGGCCTTGGTCTGCGAGCGCCGTGTGCCGCTGCTGCGCCACCACCGGGTCTTGCGGCTGAGAGAGTCTCATCCCAGACTGTTCCCGCCTCCGTCCCGCGACCCCCGGCAGGTGCGGGCGCCGACCCCATGGCACAGGGGCACAGACCCCTGCGTGGACGTGAAGCGCGACATCGCGCTCCTCTCCTCTCCCGTCCCTGGCTGGGAGCTGCCTCCCGGCCGCGGCGCAGCCCCTGCCTCTCAGGCGCCTGCAGGCGACGCTTTCATGCTGTCTTGGCAAAGCCGGGCGCCTCTGGGCGAGCGCCGAGCACGGACCGTGCCCGTGTCCGGGGAGGCCGTGCGGGAGGAGCCGGGCTCACACGCAAGGTAGTCAGGTCAGGCGTGGACGTGGAGCCTCTTTACGGAATTCTCCGCAGGTGTAGACAGCTGTTCGCTAAGCTTAGGAAATTTTCATTAAAAAAATGACTTCACTGATTATTACAGGAGATCGTTAACATTTCATTACAGCGATAACGCATATTAAAGTGCAGTTAGAAGCAGAGAAATAGATGCATCCCGGAAAAGCACACATTGCGAGTGCACAGCAGGGTCGGCTTTGACAGGAACATGCCTGTGCACGCCTGTGAACAGCACCCGGGTCTTCAACTTGGGCGTGGTCAGGTCCCTGCAAGCTCACAGGCACGCTCGGGCGTTCACGTGTGCGTGGGTGTCTGAGTGCACTCGTGTGTGTGCGTGACGCCGGCCGCGGCCGCCCCTAACCCCCCCCCCCCCCCGCCCCCCTGCAGGTGCTACGTGCAGTGCCGGGGCATCCCGCAGGGCTCCCTGCTGTCCCCGCTGCTGTGCAGCCTGTGCTACGGCGACATGGAGCGGAGGCTGTTCCCCGGGATACGGCGGGACGGGTGAGCCGCCTCTGCGCGCCCCTCGCGTCTTGTCGGCCTGGGCGCCGCTTTGCCTTCGGCTCACCAGGTGTCTCCGGGACTCCGGGTGTTCCGATCGTCTCGTCTAAGAGAACCGGGCAGGAGCGAATCCCTGCTTCACGCTGAGGCCCGGTGGAGCCTGGTGTGCTCGGCTCGCGGCCGGGCAGGACCCCGCAGCTGCGCAGGACCCCGCGGCTGCTTCCGGATGGCTCGCTGCGTTGGACGCAGAGAGGGCGTTTCTCTCAGACGGAAATTCACGCCTTTGTTCAGCTGACTTGGGAACCTGCTTTATTCTTGCTGGTGTAAATGCAAACATTTAACCGCCGTGCTTCCCCGAAAATTAGGCAGGGTCTTATGTTTATTTTTCCTCAAGAAGACACCCCAGGGCTTATTTTCAGGGGACGTGTTATTTTCCCCCAAAGCCTCAGCTTGCAGCACACACAGGACGGCCGGGACCCGACAGGGGAGCCGACCTTGTTGGTGGGGCTGCCCGCACCTTCCCGGTCACCTCTGGGACCTTAGCTGTCAGGACGGGGCAGATGAGAAGGGCTGCTCGTCTTCTTTCCCGCTCCGCTATGACACGCATGGGTTGTGCAGACGCGCTGCGTGGCCACGCCCATCACTAGGGCTTATTTTTGGGGTGGGGCTTCTGCTGCGCAAATGCTTAGGGATCCTGCTAGGGCTTATTTTCGGGGTGGGGCTTCTGCTGCGCAAATGCTTAGACATCCTGCCAGGGCTTGTTGTGTGGGTAGGGCTTCTTTTCGGGGAAACGCGGGACTGGGACGCTGCGTCCCTCGTGGTCCCCGGAAGGGGGAGTGAGGCCGCCCGCTGTCTCCGCCTGCAGGCTGCTGCTGCGCCTGGTCGACGACTTCCTGCTGGTCACGCCTCACCTGGCGCACGCGAGGGCCTTCCTCAGGTGAGTCCGCGCCCCGCGTCTGTGCGGCTGCCTGGGCGGCCTGCGTGTGACGACACGCCGTGTCACGATGAGCTGTGTCTGCGCCCGGAGCCCGTGGGCCGCCACCCGCACAGGGTCGCCGTGGCACCTGGGCCTCGCCGTCCTGCGTCCTCTCTGCCACAGCCGGGCCACAAGGGCCGGGCGTCGGGCCGCGCAGACTGGCGGGCGGGGCTGGCCTTCAGGACAGAGGGGGGCGGCCAGGGTCCCTTCCCTGGAAACCCTCACCAGACACGTGCACACGGAATGCGCTGGCGGCGAGTGGCCCCAGGTGGGTGACGGCTCCCGCCCCCCCGGTGGGCCATAGGGCTGCGCTTCCTGCCTCGGAGCATGATGAGGCTGGGGGTCGAAGGTCACGCTCCCACTGCAGAGCTGCTGTCTGCGGGGGTGGCGGGGGCAGCGGGAGGATTCAGCCCTGCAACGTGGTGGCGATTGAGGGCCGGGGGCAGGTCCGGACGTCGGTTTTGTGGCTCTGGCCAGAACCAGGCCGCGGGTCCTCAGAGCAGCGGCCGGTGGGGTCTGCGCCTCCAGAGCCCTTGGGGCCCGCGGGCTCGTGTCGGAAGCGTGTGATGTTTCCGGGGCAGAGAATCGCTGAAATTTATAAATGAACTCTCAAAAAAAAGGCCGCCGGCGAGAGGTGGTTTGCTTGGCCTTGGGCTGTGCGGAGTGGGGACTCGCTGGACGCCCCGCCCTCCTCGGGGGCCGCCCCGCCCAGCGAGCGGTTCTGGAGCGCAGCGGGCCACGTGGGTGTAAGTTGATTAAAGTGACGTTGGGACTGCCCAGGTCCCCAGCACTGGCCACGTGAAGGGCTCGGGAGTCACGTGTGGCCAGTGGAGGGGACAGAGTGGCGGATTGCTGCTTCCTTGTGGAAAGTTCTGGAAGTGGCTCTGGCGGGAGGGGGTTGGTCAGGTGGGTGCTGGGGACAGGACGAGCGGGTGTGTGTGTCCAGACAGGAGGAGGCTGGTGGCAGGGACGGCAGGCGCGCAGTGGGACGGACGGAGCCTGGAGCCGGGCCGGGCTGTGGGAAGGGCACGTGGGGGGACGCCACCGTCCCCGGGGGAGTTTCCCCTCCGCGCAGGCTCAGGCCGCCCCCCAGCTGGCGGTGAGGCCCCACACGGGGAGGACTGCCTTTCCCAGTGACGTCGGCGGGCGCAGGCACAGAACCCCCGTGGGGTCCGAGGCCCACGGCAAGGTGCCCTCGGGAGAAGCAGTCGGGCAGGAAGATCGTGAAGTGTCCCAAGAACGAGGGTGATGGCCGGGCGCGGTGGCTCACGCCTGTCATCGTAGAACTCTGGGAGGCCGAGGCGGGAGGATCGCTCAAGGTCAGGAGTTCAAGACCAGCCTGAGCAAAAAAGAGCAAGACCCCGTCACTACTAAAAATGGAAAATTAATTGGCCAACCAAAAATATATAGAAAAAATTAGCATGGTGGCGCATGCCTGTAGTCCCAGCTACTCGGGAGGCTGAGGCAGGAGGATCGCTTGAGCCCAGGAGTTTGAGGTTGCTGTGAGCTAGCCTGACGACACGGCACTCTAGGCTGGGCAACAGAGTGAGACTCTGTCTCAAAACAAAACAAAAAAAAAAGAACTTGAGTGATAAGGCGGATTTGGGGCCCAGATCTGGTCTACCGCAAGCCACACGGACACAGGGCTGACGGTCACGGGGCCACCCGGGCTCCCTGCCCTTCCAGGCCCCAGCTGCCCAGGCTCCCACCCCCTCCCGTCCCTGCCGTGGGACGGGGCCAGCATCCACAGGTCACGGGCAGGGCCGTGTCCTCTCTGCTCGCCGGGCCGGCCGCCTGGGTTTGGGCGCACTCACGCGGCGTCAGAGCCCCTCCTGGGCGGAGCCCTCCTCGCTGGCTGACCCGGCCTCTCTGCCGCAGGACGCTGGTCAGGGGCGTCCCCGAGTATGGCTGCGTGGTGAACTTGGAGAAGACGGTGGTGAACTTCCCCGTGGACGCCGCCGCCCTGGGTGGCGCAGCCTGCGTCCAGCTGCCGGCCCACTGCCTGTTTCCCTGGTGCGGCCTGCTGCTGGACACCCGCACCCTGGAGGTGTTCAGCGACTACTCCAGGTAGGCGCACCTGGCAGGTGAGGAGCCTTCTCGGCAGGCGGTGCCGTGGGTTGGCCCATCCCGTTCCTGCTTCAGTGGGGGCAGGCGACCCCTGACCCCAAAGGCTGCCTCTCTTGCCCCGGGGAGCAGAAACCAGAGTGAGGCACCCACAGGTGGGCAGTGTCTGTGTGTGTTTTGGAGAAAGGGGCCTATAGGACAGACTCAGGCATGGCGTGTGTTCAGGACTGCCTGGGTCTGGAGCCAGAGACATCGGCCTCTTAGACTCGTGTCTCCCTACTGGGAGGGCGCACGCCATGGCCCTCGTGGCCTCTGTGGTTTCGAGGTCCCTGGTCTGGGCTGGCCCCTCGCAGAGCCCTGGCTGTGCGTGTGCAGGTCTCTGCACAGGGCGCCGAGGCCACATGCCCCCAGAGCCTGTGAGTTCACAGGGGTCCAGCCGTGCCGTGAGCGCACAGAGCCCCAGAGACGTGTGTGTTTGCTGAGTGAGCTCCCGGCTGCACACGCCTCAGGCAGTGGGGGGATGGGGGGTGGGGGGAGGCTGTGGAGCTGGCAGGGGTGGGGACGGGGACAGGCATAGGAGTGTGACACCCCCCCCTTGTGTCTCAGCTTCGCCCGGACGTCCGTCAGAGCCAGTCTCACCTTCAGCCCTGGCTTCAAGGCCGGCAGGAACCTGCGGCGCAAGCTCTTGGGGGTCTTGCGGCTGAAGTGCCACGGCCTCTTTCTGGACCTGCAGGTGGGCAGGCCCGCGGTGGCCGGCGTGGGCTCAGAGCTCGGGGGGTGCTGGCCTGAGCATACACGTCTGGGGCTGTGCGGTCCGAGGCCCGTTGTCATGCGTGTGTGCGTGTGCATGTATGGACGAGTGCGTGGGTGTCCACATGGGTGCATACGTGTGAATGGGCCCCCCACCACAGGCATGTGTGTGTGCTCCCCTATGCATGAGTGAGCAGGTGTGTGTGCGTGTGTGGGTGAGTGCCTGGGTGTCCACATGGGTGCAGTGCCCATGCAAGCATGCACATGTCCGAGTGCACATGCCCACAAATGCGTGTTGTGCCTGTGTGTGTGCAAGTGCATGCGTGTGGGGGTATGTGTATGTGCGAATGCACCCACGACCACAGGCATGCGTGTGTGCTCCCCTGTGCATGAGTGAGCAGGTTGTACGCATGTGCACGCATTCATGGTAGGCATGTACATGCCTGTGGGCATGCACACACATGCTCACCTGTATTGAGGGCCCCTCACGTTCACCCCACACAGTCCCCACTGGCCCTCCCCGACCTGGTACCTTCCTGGCAGGGTGGGGCCCAGGTCTGGCGGCTCAGGCTCCAAGCTACAGCCCCTGCGGACGGTCCCTTTGGGGGCCCGGGCCCTCGGGGCACTTGCCTCGCCCCTTCCTGCCTGGGGTCCCAGCTGCATCTCCCTGGGCCCTCTTGCCTCGCCCCTTCCTGCCTGGGGTCCCGGCTGCATCTCCCCTCGGGCCCTCTTGCCTCACCCCTTCCTGCCTGGGGTCCCGGCTGCGTCTCCCTGGGCCCTCTTGCCTCGCCCCTTCCCGCCTGGGGTCCCAGCTGCGTCTCCCTGGGCCCTCTTACCTCGCCCCTTCCTGCCTGGGGTCCCGGCTGCATCTCCCTGGGGCCGAGGGGCACTTGCCTCTCCCCTTCCTGCCTGGAGTCCCCTGGGGCCGAGGGGCAGCCTCTCATCCACGGCTTTCCTGTCGCCTTCGCCTGGGTGATGAAGCACGAAGTGAAAGTGTGAGAACCCAGAGACGTTTCTGAGGTTCCTCCCCTTCCCTCGGGCCCAGGTGAACAGTCTGCAGACGGTCTGCGTGAACGTCTACAAGATCTTCCTGCTGCAGGCCTACCGGTGAGCCCGCGCGAGGGAGGCGCAGCCGGATAGATACGCCCGCGTGCGGCCGCTTCAGTCTCCTTGTGTCTCAGGCTCCACGTCCGAGCTCTCGGGTTTTAGCAGAAAGCGGCGCCTGCTCGCGTTTTTTCTGCGCATTCCGTGTCCTGGTTGATGTGGGGGTGCCTGCCTCGGTCCCCAGGCAGGGGTGGCTGCAGAGCTTGTCCCCACGTCCCCATGCGCTGACCCGGGGCCCCTCCTGGCGCGGGCGTTGGGGTGTAGGCAGTCGGGAGATGCTGTGGGCGGGTCTCAGGGCGGCTCCCGGAGCGGGCAGGGCCGGCGGCGCTGTGGTGGGTGTGGGGTCCCCGCCGGCACAGGGCGAGGCGGTCACGGGCGAGAGGTGCCAGCCCCGACCCAGCGAGGCGCCACAGGGCTGTGGCGCTCCAAGGACAGCCGCCATCCTCTTTGCTTGGGCCTGGCAGTGCTTCCGGAACATTCCCTGCCCTTGCATGGTCCCAGGCCACCCTGCGGAGCATCAGGGTCAAGGTGCGGCAGTCCCCGGGTGGGGTCTGTGCAGTGTCTGCGCTGTCCCAGGCCCTGACGGGAGCGTTGTCACCGTGGGCTGTGCGTGTCCCCCGGGAAGCCGGCCGTTGCTCATTGGCCGGCCGCTTCGCCGGGACACGGCAGGGGCTTTGCTCTCGGTGGCTCCAGCGGGGATGCGCCCCGTGTGGCCAGGCGCCGTTGCTCATTGGCCGGCCGTTTCTCGGGGACGCGGAGGGGGCTTTGCTCTCTGTGGCTCCAGCGGGGACGCGCCCCGTGTGGCTCGGGCCGGGCACCGCCTCGATGACGGCTTCGGCGTGGAGGGAGGGGCTGGTCTGCAGAGGCCGCATCAGGGCAGGCGGGGCGGGACGCTCCGGTTGGACGAGGACTGCGGCCTCCGCGCACCCAGCCTCCCGTGCCGTGGCCTCCGTGTGGGCAGAGGGCGCCACGTGGCGGCAGGGGGAGCCTTCGCTGCAGAGGAGGAGCGGCGTGGGTGCGGGGCTGCCGGGCCGCGGCGCAAGGCTGGTGTCCCCAACAGTGCCCAGAGTGCCTATGTAGCCCGGGCACCCGGGGGTTCCCGTTGCGGAGTTAGCCCCAGGGCGCGGCCGCGGTGTCAGGGTTCGGCTGAGCTCGGCCGCTTCCTCGCGCGTCCGTGTCGCCTCTCCCGGCAGGCGCGGGGAGGGGTGGAGGCGTCCGTGACAACGTGACTTGGGGCCAGGGCCCGGCTGGCTGGGGCTTCCTATGTGGCCGGCTCAGGCGGGCGGCGTGCCCAGGTGTGGGCTGGGCGCCCTTGGAGGTCCCGGTGGCCACGAGCCGCCTGCTGCTGCTCCCGTGTCTGGCTCGGCCTCACCCGAGTTTCCCGGGGCCTTTGTGCCCAGCCCCTTGGGGGCCTGGCTTCAGCAGGGGGCGGCCCCTGCCGCCCCAGGCCTGGTAGCCCCTTGGTTAGGGCGGGCTGGCGCACGGCCCCAGGATGATAGACGGCCGCAGCCTGCCCCGCCCCGGCTGGATGTCGCCGCTTCCACGTGGGGGAGACCTGAGAGCCCCGCTGCGGTGGAGGTCAGATGCAGGCGGAGACTGACCCGACCGCACGGGCAGCCGGGCTGACAGGCGAGGCTGTGCTCATCCGCGTGGCGCCATGGCGCCGTCTGGCCTGTGCCCGGGGGGCTTGGCATCCCCGTGGGCCTAGGGACCCCAAGACCACTATCAGGCAGCTGCGTTTCCTCCTGGGTCGGTAGTGCAGCCCTGACCCCTGACCCCAGGACCTTGGCCATGTTATGTGTCTTTAGAAAAGATCTGCAGACCTGAATTTGCTTGAGGGTGAGTGGGAATATACCCCCACCTGCACAAAAATCTCAGGAGCAGAAGCCAGGTGGCAGCCTTGACGGATCGCTCTCCAGTGCTCAGTGAGGCCAGTGCACGACGCACCCGGGGAGGAGGTTGTCATGTGGTCACATGCACATGCAACACACGTGTGTACATGTACACACAGAAATGCTCATGCACGTTTATACATGAGCATGCACACATCCATACATAGGGTACACACGCATGCCTACACACGCAGATGTACACCCCCATGGCACGCACACACACATACTCATGCCTTCACATGCACACGCACCTCTACACACACAGGCACCTCTACACACACAGGCACACATGTGCACACACACGTGAGCCCATTCTAATCCGACGGCCTCTCCTGCCCTCAGGTTCCACGCCTGCGTGCTGCAGCTCCCGTTTAACCAGCCAGTGTGGAAGAACCCCACGTTTTTCCTTCGCGTCATCTCGGACACGGCCTCCCGCGGCCACTGCATCCTGAGAGCCAAGAACGCAGGTACGGGCGGGGCGGGCGAGGCCTGTGCTCACGGATGTGCAGGTCGGGGAGGGCTCCAGAGCCCAGGGAGCCCAGCAGCACGTGTGGCGGACCCCGTGTGTGGGCGCTTCCCTCTGCCCCAGCAGGGGCGTCTGGCGAGGACCCGCCACGTGCCCGTCCCCACTGGGCGGGGCAGACCCCTTCCCGCACACAGCCTCGGGAGTTGGGCCTGGAATCCTTGCCCTTCGCCGCGTCCAACAGCGGCTTAACCGTTCACCACTGGCCTCGAGGTATGGGGACCGTCCCGTGGGACTGGCCGGCCGTCCTCCCGCACTCCGAACCGCAGGCCCCCTCCTGTTGTCCCCGCGCGACTTGCCCCTGCGCTCCGTGGTGCTCTGGGCCTCTGCACCGGCCGGGCTGGGGAGCCGCCAGCCTTCTCTGCTCTGGGTCCCTGTCCTCGGCGCCGGGCGTCCCCCTGGGGGAGCTGGGCTGGGCGGGGCCCTCAGCCTGCGTTTGCCCCCCAGGGACGTCGCTGGGGGCCAAGGGTGCCTCCGGCCCCCTCCCCCGCGAGGCCGTGCAGTGGCTCTGCCAGCACGCCTTCCTGCGCAAGCTGGCGCGGCACCGTGTCACCTACAGGTGTCTCCTGGGGACGCTCAGGACAGGTAAGGGGGCGGAGGGAGGTGCGTGCAGTGCAGCCTTGCGGCAGCTACAGGGTACCAGGTGTGGGTGTCCCGAGGGGCGGCTCCCACCCCCTGCCCCGCAGGGCCCCCGTCTCGGGAACTCTCTGACCTTTGACCTGCGCACTCTCCCACGGGGTCTGCAGCTCATCAAGCCTGTCCCAAGTGCCCCCCACTACTGGCCGTCTGGAGGGGTCTCTGCCCCTTCCCTGGGGCCCCCCAGCCTGGGCCGTGCGGGACACCTGCCTGGAGCGGAGTCTGGCCTTGGTCTCTCCCGCAGCCCAGGCGAGAGTGCAGCGGAAGCTCCCTGCGGCCACGCTGGCCACCCTGGAGGCCGCGGCCGACCCGGCCCTGACCACGGACTTCAACACCATCTTGGACTGACGGCGGCCCCGCCTGCCACCGGGAGGAGGGTACGGTGCCAGCAGCCGCCACGCCCGGCTGGTGTCCGGACGGGCTGCTGGGAGGCTCCGGCCGCTCGTCCCTGACCCGGTCTGCGGTGCTTGCGGGGTGGGGACGCATCCTTGATGTGCTCCTTCCCGGGGGCGGGGTCTCCCCTCCTGGTGTCCTTAGAGGAGCAGAGCCTGCCCGCCGGGACCCGCCCGTGCCGTTGCTGCCAGGAGGAGGCGGGCGGGTGGGCCTGTCTGTGCCAGGAGGGAGGATCCACCAGCCGGTGGTGTTGGGACGTCTGCTGCCACCACAGCGCCGGGCTGTCTGGGGAGGCCCTTGCACCTTTGCACCAGCTTCATGGCCACAGCCCTTGGGCGTGGGCGCAGCTCCATCCCTCGGCCCACGTCTGCTCCGGGGCAGCCCTCACCCCAGCTGTATCCAAAGTCCAGTTGTAACTGAGCTTTCCTTGCAAACACAGGCCTAGCCCCACTGGCTCCACTGCCCCTGGGCACACCTGCCCTTGGGCCACTCTCACTACCTGGCTGCTCCCAGCTGGGTCCTCCCATCACCCCAGGGACCTGCCGCTGAGGCTCCCACCCCCTGGCCACCCCCACCAGACTTGCGACCCTGTCTCCTGCCAGCCCTGGCCCCGTCAAGCCTGCCCAGCGACCCCAGTGGAGACGCCGGTCGGGACCCAGGCCTCTGGGTGACAAGGATGCCCTGCGCGCAGTGGGACCCCAAGCTCGGCGGGGGCTCCGTGGGTGCTGCAGTGCGCGGCTGTGGGTAGAAAACGTCGAACCTCTGGGTTTCTGGGTTTGAGCAGTGTCTGTGGCATGCTGACGTGTGCAGTCATAGAAACGACACATGGGGTGGGGTGCAGTGAACACGGCTTGGCTGGCGTCCAGGGGTTTCCCGTGCTGAGGTGGGAGGGGTGGGGGTGGGACCCAGGGAACAGCAGGGCCTGGCCCAGCCCCCGCCCGCCGGCAGCTGTGGACCCTCGGCAGGGTGCCTGGGGCATGGGCAGCGCCATCCTTTACAAAACCCGGGTCCCCTCTGAGCACCCGGCTCAGGCCTAAAGTCACAGTTCTCTGGCCGCCGCCTTCTGGGTGGACCAGGCCATCTGGATCTTTTTGGAGGGTCCTGCCGGGTGGGCAGCGGAGGGGCCGTGGACATGGCAGGGTTGTGAGGGTGGCGAGCCCACTGCCCGTGTGTCCTGCCTCTAGATGGGCCCTAGGCACATGGTGGGGCTGGACAGACGCCCTGCAAAGACGGAAAGAGCCAGAAGGACCACGGGACAGGAGGAGCAGCGGCTGAAAGGCTGTGGTCTTATGGGAAGGAGCAGCCCCAGGGGTCAGCCCGGTGGCTGAGCCGGCCACAGAGGCCAAGAGTGAGCAACCTGGGGACGCCCCAGCCTCGGCCGTGGCCTGGTCCTGTTGGCTGTGCCGGGGTTCCCGTGTGGCTGGGCTGCCGCCTTGTCTGCTGCTGTTGCCTCGAGGAGCGTCCAAGTGGCCGAGCCTGGCGGGTTTGTGGCAGCTCCAGGCCACGGGGTGCGACGGACGTGCCCGGCACTGGCACACGGGAGAGTGAGTGATGAGGGGCCTGGCAGCTGGTCCTTTGCGGCCGTGAGCAGGAGAGGAGCTGCCGCGGCCACGCTGGGCAGAGGTCCCTTGGCCAAAGGCTGGACGGAGCAGGGCAAGGACCCCAGAGCAGAGGCACCGCCGGGCGTGGGCCGAGCTTGCCTGCCCTGGCGCGGCTCACACACATCACCAGCCGGGTCACTGTGCAGTTGTCCATTCTCCACGCGGTTCCGGCTGCCCTTTCTCTGTGTGTGCTGACTGCTGTTCTGTGGAGGGTCCGGCGTGTGCATGGCAGTGTCAAAGCATGGGAAAGCTGCCTGCTCTGCGGTGGCTTAGCTGAGCCCCCCTGTCTGACTTCTCTCTCTCTCTCTCTCTGAAACCACCATGCAGACTGTCAAGTCTCAGGGCAACATGCAAAAATAAAATTTTAAAAGGGGAGAGAAATCCTACTCCTCTGGGTTTCCCTAGACCTCAGCTTCATGTGAAGCTCATTGACTCACTCACGTGTTCTGCACACGGACGTTTGTGGAGCAGGTGGGGGTCCCGTTGCACGGGACTGAAAGAAGCAACGGGGTGGAGGCTGTGGGTGAGGCCGGCCAGGGCCCTGCAGCCCCCTGACCCTTAGTGCTGGTGCAGCACCTGGCCTCGGGGACGCTTCTGGAAGGGTGCTAGGGGCAGGGGGCGCCCGCCGTGGCCGGCTGCAGAACCCCAGCACCCATGGCAACCAGGATAACGACCCTCCCCAAGCATGTCCTGGTCCCCACAACCTGGGCACTTGTTACCAGACATGGCAAAGGGACGTTGAAGGCGCAGATGGGACCGGGGTTGCAGTCAGCTGACCTGAGGTGGGGAGGTCATCCTGGGGTGTGGGGGCCGATGGAAGCACAGGGTCCCTGGAAGCGGTGGGGTGTGTCCTCCGGCCGCTGCTGGCCTGAGGTGGATGAGGGCCCAGGCGGAGCACCAGGGCAGCTGCTCAGAGCTGGAGAAGTAGCTGATCCCCCGCTGAGCATCCTGAGGGCCCCCAGCCTGCCGCTGCCAGGGTGTCAGCCCAGGGAGACGCTGGCAGATGTCTGGCCCCAGAACAAGACATGTCGTTCCTGTACAGCCACCGAGTTCTGGTGACATGGCAGCACGGTGTTGAGGGTGAACACAGGCTCGTGCCAGGGCGAGACCTCGGCTCCACGCCTGCAGCCCAGCTGGGGCTGTGCCCAGAGCAACGGGGTCTCTCCTGCCGGTCCCGGCGGGGTGCCGGTGAGGGTGCAGAGACTTGGGGCAGGGGCTTCTGCAGCTCCTGGGTGGCCTGAGGCTGGCGTGGTCTTTGTGCTGAGGCTGGGCTGGAGCCTCCACCCAGCCTGGGTGAGCACAGGCACACCGAGTGTGAAGCCGGGTGTCAGGCGTTCCCGCGGCCCAGAGGAGGGCACAGGCGTCTCCATGATGCCGTCTGACGCACATCCGAGGTCTGCCCTGCTGCAGCTCCAGAGAGCGTCGGGGAGGGGCTGGGTCCCCTTCCTAGCCTCATAGCGGGCAGCACAGAGCAGAGCCAGGGACTCAGCACAGCCCTTGGCCTGCCATCTGCAGCCGCAGGTCCCCACCCCAGCTGGGCCAGGAGGCTCAACTCGGGCTCAGGGCCCAGGCCCACGCGTGGTTGGGGTGGGGCTGCTTCCCTGTGGCGTCCACGCTCTTCCCGCCTCCTTCCCTGGGTGTGGATGCCCAGGGCCCCTGTGGCTGAGCCCAGCCAGGTTTTCATCAACTTCCCCCCAGGGGGTCAGTGACCGGCTGACTCAGCCCGTGCTCTCCCTCCACCTGCCCTCGCTGCTTCTCCAATTGCTGGACAGAGAAGCCCACCTGCCTCTGCACTGGTCGCCGTGGGCTGTCTCCACCTGGGTGAGGGCCAGCTCTCCAGACGGGGTCCTAGCCTCAGACCCAGAAGGAACGGGGCCGGGAGGGAAGTGCCTGGGGTCAGGAGGGCACGTGTGGGTGGGGGCTGTGTCCATCTCTGGGGTTGGCCGGCCTTGTTTGCGGCCGGCTTTATTTCCAGGTCAACACTGCTATCGCCAAGAAGGGGGTAGTTTTCGGGGGTGCCAGCGCTCTGCTCCAGCCACCCTGGTCGGGCAGTAGAACGTTCTGTTCCTGTCCCAGCCCAGCCGGTCTGAGGTTTTTCCCAAGGGCGGGGGACAGACTGAAAGTGCCTGGGTGTGGGGTGTGGTCACGCGGGGTGGGCTGTGCTCTTGCAGCCTGGCCCTTGGCCACCCTCCGGCCTCCCCCAGCTCCGTACACTCTCGGGGTGTCTGATAGGGGCAGGTGTGCCTCTGCCTTCGCTGGGCCACCGTCTGCGCACCTGCCAGGCCACCCCCGTCTGTCCTGCTCTCCACCCACCTGTGCCCGCAGCTGCGTCCAGCACGCAGGCAGCGTGGAGCTTTCTGGAGAGGTGAGCGTCCATCGGCCCTCCCTGTCTACCTGTCACCCCTTCGTCTCTCGGTCACTGAGCAAAGACTCCAAAGCTCCGGGGTAGGGGTGCCGACACTGCTGCATCCAGCCCCTCCCACACATAAGGCGCCCCCTCCGGCCCTTTTGCAATGCCCCACACCCAAAAGTCTGGTCTGGGTGGCAGCAAGAGCCATCCACAGAGCACCCTGGTTATTTCTGAAACGTGGTCCTGACATAAAATATGACTTCAGATACATCTGAGCTGCTTGTGGGCCTCCCTGTTTGCCCGCGGCCATCGTTCTCCTCGCTCAGGGCCAACGGCAGGATTCCTAGTCCCTGTGGGGAGCTCGGGAGGGCGTCCCGAGAGCTGTCTTGGAGACAGTCCCTTGGCTGTGTCTGCTTCCAAGCAGGCCCCCGCTCTGCTCCTGGGAGCTGGAGACACTGCCGTGGAAGACACCACCACAGAGGACTCCTGTTGCCTTGACCCCTCCCCACTTTAAGGCTTTGCTTTAGAGAGCCACCCCGCCTGCCTCCCACACTGCGGGCCCGGCCAATCCTGCACTTTGAGAGGGAAGCATCTCCCCTGAATCATGAACCAAAAGGGTGTACAACATCCATGGAGCAGCCCTACTTAAGAAAGATACCAAAGGGCAGAGCTGAACTCTGTACAGAGAGTCCTGTGGGTCCTGTGAGCTCCTGAATCCAACAGGGCCTGAAGCCCACCCTGGGACTTGGCGACTTCTGAGAGCAAGTGCCCTTTGCTTGAGTCCACTCTGTGCCGGTTACAGTGGGGAGAGGACTGGCAGGCAGGGGAAGGCACCGGGCTGCAGTGACGCTCCCAGGAGGCAGGATTGGGAGGCTGAGGCCAGGGTGCCCTGCCGGCCTCTGCAGTAGCTCCAACACCCAGGGGCTCTCTGTGTGGCATGTTCCTGCCTCACAACAGGTGTGGGATGCATCGTGGTCACAGGGTGGAAGGGCAAGGTGCAGGACTCACCCCTACAGTGGGCTGGGGATGCACTCCGGTGGGGGCACGCTGGAGCTAATTCTGCGTGCAGCACCCAGGTCTCTGTGGGCAGGTCTGAGCCGGCCGTGGGCAAGGCCATGCAGGCACAAACCTGTCACGGCTGCTGATAGATGATAATTCCGTAGGGTGCGGGTGGCCATGGCTTTTCAGCACCGTGGACAGCGACGCCCGGCCCGCCCTGCGCGCGTTTAAAAGGCCAAGACGGAGGGTCCGGGTCTCCGCGGGGGCTGCTCCTGGCAGCGCAGCCAAGGACCCCCGTGGCTCCGTGGCAAGTCACAAGCAAACCTGTGTCCAGCACCGGCGCTCTGGACCTGACCCTGTGCTGCCCGAGGAGGCGGTGGGCGAGGGGCCAGGCCGGGTTTCCCCGCAGGGCTCCGCAGTGCGGAGGGCGTGGCGTGGGCGCGCCCAGTGACTCTGGACGTAAAAGCGAATGAATGACTGAGTGCCTGACCCCTGGGAGCGCAGGAACCTTCACTATCAGGTTTTTTGTACCTTCTTAACAAACTCAGATTTGACACTTTGGGAAAATTAAAAATGGCAAAATGCAGTGTTTCTCAGAAATAATGTCAGGAAAAGTCAGCTGGCCCCCCTGACTCCCTCCACTGCAGCTCCAGCTGGACCCCGGAGCCCGGAACCTCGGACCCCGCACCCCCCCACCCCGGAGCCTGCATTCCAGACCCTGCACCCCGGACCCCGACCCCAGACCCTAACCCTGCACCCTTGGCCCCGCACCCGGACCCCACACCCTGGATCCCGTACTCCAGACCCTACACCCCACACCCCAGACCCTGCACCCCGGACTCCGCTTGGTGGCTTGTGCTTCCTGGAATAGTCTGTCCCGGGGTCTCAGCCGAGACAGACCTGGGGCCCTGCCACCTGCGAGCGGCGTGTCGTGTGGAGGCGAAGCCTACCCGCCACCCCCAGAGCCTGGGTGCGGGCGGGGCCCTGGAGCCAGGCTGCCCGCCCGAGCCAACACGAGGCTCTCACGGACGACTAAGAAGACACCGAAGCCCCGCACCTGTGCGGACCCTCTGGGCTGTCCTCTAGGCAGCCGGGACCCCCAGCGCTGAGCGCCCAGTCGTTGGGTGCCGAGCAGGACCTGGGGGTGACACCGATGCAGGCGCCGCCCACGCCCGGGGACCGCGCTCTCGGTCCAGAGGCCGACGTCGGGGAAGAAAGCAGGCTCAGTGGGCAGTGCGCATGCGTATGTATTGAAGCGGGCTCGGTGGGCGGGGCAAAGCCGGCTTCCCCCAGCCCCGAGAGGCCCCGCCCCATGGCAGGCCACGCCCCGTCCGTGGCGTCAGCGCGTGTCCGCGTCCCTGGGCCTCCACCTCCGTGTGCGCTGGGCGAGCAGCTGGGCCAGCGCGGCGCCCAGGACGCACAGCGTGGGCAGGAGGGACAGCAGCGCGCAGGCGGCCAGCACCCAGCCCGGGTAGCGCTTCTCCTGCCGCGCCGGGAACCACTCCTATGGGGGAACTTGGTCAGCGGGGGGCGGCGCAGGCACGGCCAGACCACAGGCCGGACCTCGCCCCTGCAGCGGGAGGCCTCGCCTCGTCCCTTCCGCGTGGGGGAGGAGGGAGAGGAAGACCCCAACCAGCGCCGAGGGCCAGGCCACCCCTGGGCCAGGGTCTGGGGGCTTGGGGAGCAGCCTCTCCTGGGCGTGGGAATGTGCGAGAGGCCTGGGGTCTGTTCTGGGGCTGGAGGGGTCCCCCCAGGACCTACGTATTGGGGGTTCCAGGCCCTGTAGCTCGGGGGCTTCTGGGCCAGGAATGCGATGTAGGTCACAAGGACGGTCAGCAGCAGCAGGGGGCTGACCAGCGTCCAGCACACCCTCCAGTAGAGACCCGGCCGGCTCCCGGTCATCCACTTGACGTCGTCACAGAACCTGCACAGGCCGGGGCTCAGGCTCCCCAGCAGCCCGCGTGACCCGCTCGGGGCTGAGAGCACAGGACTGGGCCCCAGCCTGGGCCCCCTGCCTCCCGCCCCCCAGGACAGCTATGGGCTGTGCCTTCGCCCAC